CCCTTCACCCCAAATATAGCAATTCTAGAAGTCATCAAGACGTCTGTGCCGGCCGATTTTGAGATGGCACCGCCTGGCACCGTATAAATACAATACGCGCAGCCGCCCAATTCAGATGAATGCACTGTAGATTAGACGATTCGACTTTGGAGGGCGGATAAGACGACTCGACACACGCAAAACAGCACGCCAATTTCATTCTCAGCGGGATTCTAGTCTTTTTAGATGATTGTTTTTGGTATTGGCGATTTGGAGAATTCGGAGAACATCGTGCAGAGAAGTGCAAATAGAGAAAAAGTCGGCAATGTTGGAAATGGTTATGAAAACTTGAAATTTTCGACACTATTGTATAGTCTTTTTAGATGATTGTTTTTGGTTTTGACGGTTCCGAGAATTCGGAGAACATGGTGCAAAGAAGTGCAAAAAGAGAAAAATTGGAAAACTTAGAAATCGGCGCAAAAGTTGCAAAATTTTAGATTTCCTACAGCATTCCGAGTGCAGCGCAACATCGTGGAGCACAACAAAATTAACGTTATTTCGATGAAAATTACCGGAAATCAACAATAATAGGTTTTTAGGCATTATCGCTGTACCCGAGTTTTTTATACGTCAATAAATGTCTAGTAACGTAATCGTAAGTATTGTAATGGTGTTTTTAGCAAAATTCCGCGGTATTTTAAGTGAAAAAACTGTTTAAAAAACATTCAAATCGAACTTTTGGTCGAAAAATCGAGATTTGTGCTAGTCTTTTAACCAATATTTGTAACGTTTTCACGTTTAGGAATGCAAAAAAGAATTTCGGAAAACGTCCACTATTTATATTAGAAAAATCGGATCGTCTTGAAAAAGCTGCCCCCCCCCCTGATAATGCGAAAGCTCCGAAAATTGAAACGTTTCCTGAACATTACACTATTTTTTTTCAGGCTCTTGTTTATGTTTTTTATCTTACACTAATAAAAATAAAAAGATTTCATACTCTAATCTTCTGCACATCCAATCCCCATGGCCATCTCCCGTTCGAAAGGATCGATCTTCCGCTTTTCCTAGGGGCTCTTTCCCCGGTATAGAGACCCTCAAGATCTCACCCCTTACGAGAGCGAGAGAGAGAGAGAGAGAGAGAGCGAGAGAGACCATTTCTCCTCAAACAGATCCTTCTGAATCCTCCCAAACTTTTCTCTATCACCTTGCCCACCCTAAAAGTGACATCCCCTCAATGGCTGCTGCGTAAATCGTCGTAGCCTGGAAATTCCTTGCTGATGACGGGGCTCTCAGATTTTTTGATAGGCGGCTTTTGGCTAAATTTTAAAAACATACCGAAACATGGAAATTTCGACATTTTATGAGCGATTTCCAAGAACCCGACGCGATCTATCGTTTCCGGTCCAAAAATCAACTTTTTAGGCTGCCGTATAGCTAAATTTCCGCTTTTTTTCAGTACCCGTGGCTAGACAAGCCCTATTACTTTCCCCCTCAACAATTTTTCTACGCACGGAGTGTCCATCGGTTAGTGTGGGTCAGTTGTTCCGGCGGCTTTTCCTCCTTCCCCTTTCCATTTTTTTGCCCAGCTTTTGGGACGTCTCAACCACTGAGAACTCATTTCCACTCGGTGGGCCACCCTCGTAAAACTCGAGATCTCGATCGATAGTGGCTTGATCGGATTTTTTAAAGGTTTTCCTACAATATTCTGGCTTTGGATCTGTTTTTTAGGCGGCTTGAATCGCTAAATCGCGCCCTCTTTACCATATACTCTCTAACGTATAGCCAAAATTTCCGTTAAAATGCGTCAAATTGACGACGCCGTCTTTTCTACCAGATGCGCGATTTTTTTGCGCTCTTGCACAATTTCATCTTCTAATTTTTAGTTCTGTTTCTAGTTAGTGTGGGTCTTTGTAAAACGCGCGTTTTAGCGCGAGTCTTCTAAAAAGTCGACTACGAGACGCACCAAAAACGCGTGCACACTGTGCGCTTTTGACATTTTCTCATTTACAAATCTTTCTAGATCTTTAAACTTTATTTTATCTTTAAAAAACCTTTGGCCGTTTTTTACGGAAAGCCTGCCTGTGTTACTAGCTTTGAATAAAAAAACTTTCGCTAGGAAAGTATAGCTGAATTTAAACGGCACAAAAACACGCCGGAACTGAAAAATGGTAGACTACGTGACGCTCCAAAAACGCATGCACACTGTGCGCAGATATCATTTTTTTGTTAACTATTTTCTCGTTTCCGAGCCTTTTCCATGGCTTTAAATTTAGACTTTCGCCCTAGCTGCCTGCGTACGGCATAGGCTTTTGGTAACTTTTTTAAAGAAGTTAAAAAAACCAGCAATAAAGCTAAGAAACTACGAGAGCTCCAAAAAAACGCGTGCACACTGTGCACAGAGAGTATTTTCTCGTTTACGAATCCTTCTAGAGTTTCTTAGACGACCTTACCTTTAAAAGTTAAACTTTCGCCCGCCCCGCCCGGGTGCAAGGCATCAGAAAACCGTTTGAAACCGTTGGTCATCGACCTTTTTTTGGGAACTCCCAGTGGATGAGGTGTGTGCGTGTTGGATTCGTGGAAATGCATTGTTTACCCCGATCCCCCCATCCCACTGCCCACCACTCACCTCAATTCGCGTAGTGGTCAGCTGTCTTCCAGTTGCTGATCGGGGCCTAGGACCCCATCAAATCCCATCTATACACCCCCACACACGGCGAGAGAGAGAGAGAGAGAGAGAGCGAGAGAGATACCTGAGAGATAACAAGAATTACCTTAAGTTGCTCTTTTTCAAGCTAGGACCTCGTACCAATCTTATCTACACGCCCTCGCAGTATGGGCGAGAGAGTGCGCTAGAAGGGAGAGGCTAGAGATAGCAAGAAATTACCAAAATTTGGTTTAATGACCTAGAACATTAATAAATTTATCCCACGCCGGGTCAGCCCGCTTTTGTGTAGCGCAGCCGGTAGCGCGTTTGCCTCCCAAGCTTGGTACCAGGGTGCAATTCCTCTCGGCGTCGTAGTTTTTGCTTTTTGGAGTAGAGCTACTTAAAGAGATGAGGACGGCATCTGTTGAACCCCCCTTGGGGAGGGGGGTTCAACAGGTCCCCGGCGATCTCGCGCAAGAGGGCTCCCAGGGGAGAGGCGCAGAGACATTTTCTTTCCCTCGCGTAATCGATTGACTTATGCCGCCCCTATCTCTTTAAAGCGCACGTTCAGGGAGGGGCCGTGTACTCGGCCCAACGTGTACACCCTTTGGACGTAGGGACGGCGCGCACGGCCTGCCCGTGGAGTGGGAGGCAATTCCCCTCCTTTCCGGGGTGAGGCGCCCCTCGGCCCCTCGCCAGGTTGCACCCGTGGCTAATTGGTATGCGACCGCGCCTCCCGATCGGGAGGCCTGGGTTCGGCCCCCGGCCGCGGCAAAAGTCTTTGCTTTTTTCCCAAAAAACGTCCCTGAACGTGCCCTTTAAAGGGATACCCAATGTTTTTGTGGCAAATATATAGTTATGTATTCCGGAGAGTACAAATGACGCGCGAATTTTGTGCGGGAATGGGTGCCCAGTGCCGCACAGAATTCGGACCCCTTTCCCTCTTGTGGCGTCCCCATCCCAAGCAATGGCTTGCCACTATGGCCTAATGGATAGCATCCAGGTATTCAAAGCGAGGGTCCGGGGTTCGACCCCCACCCGCGTCATGGTATTTGCTTTTGAGCCTCCGAAAGGTTGGGTATCCCTTTAAGGCTTTCCAACACGTTTACACGCGTGCTATCAAAAGCCACTGAAAATCTTTCAAAAAAAGCGAGTATTTTCATCAATCTTCGAAAAATCAGCGATAATGCAAAAATTTAGATATTGACTTTTAAATCTAACATTTTTATCCCAAAACTTTTCTGCTAGCCTTCTTAACCATTATTTTAACTGTAAAAAGGTATAGAAATTAGCTCTAGCCCCCAAATCCCTCGCGATCAGCCCCACCCAATAGCCCGTATGATTTGAATGTTACACAGCTGGTCTCGGGTGGATAGTGAGGATGAGGAGAGAGAGAGTGAGGGGAGAGTGAGAAAGGTGTAGTACAGCTCTTCCCCCTAATTATTCATTGGTGCCAAGTGGCCCAGGAGCAAGAGCAAGAGCTGGGTCCCAAGAGATACATTCATTCCCTCATTCCGCTTATCCACACCCTAGGCACCTCAACTACACGACCAGTAAGTTTTTTTAGTTATGTAACAAAAACGCATAAAAAAATAGCCAGGGTAGGCTAGCGGCGGCCATTTGGGATGAAAAAGCAATAAAAATTATTGGTGATTTTTAAAAATTGGCTGCTAACCCCCCGATAACGCTAAAGTGCATCCCAGCCATCATGCTGAGGAAATCCCGACAGCCGAAATCCCGGACAGGCGAAATACCGACGTATTCTGCGCCCTAGTTTGAATGCCACTTCCTTTTAAACAGCTATTTTGGGCTGTCGGTATTTTCGCTGTCGTATATAACTGTATTTGATGTATTATTTTTATCGCCATTTCCGTTTCTATACGCTTCATTTTCCCAAAAACAATTCCAGTGCCACGCCGGCCACTCTCTACCAAAAGCCTTCAACCCAAAAACGGAAGGCTCCATACGGGCGGGTCCGGGGGTCCGGGGCATAAAATTAAGCCAAAACTTTAGCTTAAAACATACCCCAAATTGGCCCTGTTTTAGAACTCCGCCGTGCAACAATGTCGGACGACGATTCTCAATAGTGGGTCTGCCAGCGGGAGCGTGTTTTTGTCCACATTTTTTGTAGTTTGCAGTCCAATAAGTCTGCGTGTAAAATACCTCACGTAATCTAATGCGTCCATCATATTCAAGGGGTTCAGCCGGATCTGGCAGCACTTCCAGATCTAGCTATGGAACATCTTTTACAAGTTACGGAACCTCATCTACAGCCACCGGAAGTAGCAGCGGGATCCGCTTCCGGGATAGTAATTCTGGGACTTCAGGGACTAGAGGGTTAATAGATCGATCCCCGTCGTTCACTTATTCCTCGGGTATGGGCACAGCTTCACTTGATTACGGCTCGACGTCGTCGGTCCGTTTCCGGGATTTTGGCCTAGACAGATCCCCATCACAGGGTCAATTTGGGGGTTATTTGGATGGGGTTAGACATTCGGTTCCGGCCTTACCCTCGGACCCAATTGGCTCGAGTCGCTTCAGCCGTCTCCAACTAGGTGCGTTTCATTCTTCCAGCGTCGGTTGCAAAAATTGAGAAGACTGGCGGGTGCGCATGAGGTTAACGTGTCCAGTGGAGCGTTGCGTTGTCCTAATATGACTACGTAGGGCTACTTTATACGCGTTTACTCTGTGCGCTTGGTGAATTTTTCAAAAATTCGCCTTTTTTACACGTAACTGGCTCTTAAAAATTTAAGGGAAACGCTAAAAGCATAGATCTTATCCAATTACGCTAGGAAATGCGAGAATATTGCTACAAACTATTAAAGGGATGAAAAAAGGTTTAGATACATATACCCTAAAATTGGGCATATACAGAATTTCCTAGCGTAATCGGACGAACGTAGGGGGTACTAACGCGTAGCCGGCTTTTATACGTACATAATCGAACCCAGCACCACTTTGCACCCCACATTGTCCTTTCAAATCAACAGATGATGACGACGATCTACTCCCCGGGCCGCTCTTGCGTAATGGAAGCTCCCGCGCCTCGCTTGGCCTTGGACGCCGAACTTCACGAGAATCTGAAGCCACTGCCTCTGGCTACGGCGGCTCGAGGAAGCTGACAACACCAGCTACAGATCCGCTTCACCGGAAGACTTCCCTCCAAGAACAACGTCAACCACCGAAGCTAGACAAAGATGTGCTCGGAACGACGCTCGGTCTTGGGACTGGACGTGTTGAATACAAGAGGGCTGATCCGTTGGCAAAGTACTTTGAAAAGGTGAGCTTTTATACATACTATGAACGTTACACAATTAATGTTCGCTTCATAGACTTTAATTTGTACTGTACTGTTAGCGAGGGGGTGCCTTACTGACTTTTACTGAAACAAAATTTCTAAATTTCAAGCTTCTAAAACGCATTTGCGACTTTTTCAGGTTGCTAGCTGCTAAAAAAATTGCGACAATTCAACCATAAGAAAAATTTGAGGTAGACATATGCCGGCCCTGTTTCCCCCCGATAAAAGCCCAGTACCGATCAGCGAATGTAAGGATCACAAAAAAGCGTACCAGGATGGCGCGCACTAGCAGTACAGCATCATTGAGTGGTTCTATTGAGTTAGCGGGGGAGGAAGATAATGGGGGAACTAGTTCTCTCTCTCCCCCCCGCTAACGAACCAGAACCTCTTTAATTGGAAAATATTTATTGTCTTTTTCAGGAGCGAAAACCTCCACCAGCCCCACGCGATGAGCCGAAAGATCCGATGGAATACGCACAACGTCTAATGGCTGCGCACAGTCTGGTAGATGATCTTTTGAAAGGCAGAGGACTCACGGCTGAAGATGAAAGGAAATATCTCAAATCGTGGGAAGAAATGCCGATCGTTCGCGAGATCAGGAGACGATCTCTTGATCGAAGATTGAGGAGGATGAGCACCGATAGTTCTGACGATTCTGGAGTGGCAGCCGAGGAAGAAGCCCCTGATGCTCATGCGGCTTTTAGCCAACGGCTTGTACGTCTTGACGACGAGGTCTCGATCGTTGAACGATTCGGAAAGCCGGTGGTTGAACGGGTGGAATTTAGCTGCTTAGCTCCTGCTCCTCCTGAACCTGTTGAAATCGACTGTGCACATCGGTTCAAGAAAACTGGAGCTAAATCAGCAGTAACGGCGATCCGAACAACCCGAGGATATCAAGCTCAAAAAGTTCATGCTCGATTCATTATCGCCCCAAACGTCCCACCAAAAAACTTGCAAGCGCCGGTGGCAACTACAGAAGTGAGCATGATCAAGAAAACTCCAGAGAACCAAGGAGCCGCAGCCCATCTCTCCCGGCGAGTCACCGGCGCCCAAACCATAGCCCTATCCCGCGTTGGACGTGCCGAATCTTGTAATCAAGAAGAGGAGGACGAGCCCCTGACCGCGAAAGAGCTGGCCAAGCTGCAGCTCCGACGCGCCGCGAAGCGCCTCGACTCGCCGTCGTCGATCAGCCAACGCGATATCTTGGCCCGGCTCGAGCCTCACCCTCAACCTATTAAATCGTCGGCCGAGATTTCTATACAGCACTGTTCATACTACCAAATGCAGGAACGGCTTCAGGTCGTTGAAAAGAATGTGAGAATCAACCTCCGGCTCACCGAGCGAGCGCCGTCACATCAGAAAACGAGGATTTGTCTTCGAGCCCCACCGAAATTCGCTTGTGTGAGGTTGGACCTGAAGCTCCCTGACCGGCCGGAACCCATGCGACGAAACAGTACCCAAGCTTTGCATATAAAACCGCGAGATCGCCGTCGGCTAGACCGAGCTGCTACGGTAGCTATAGGCGTGGAATATCTTGCTCAACAACGCCCCATCAGACGTCTACAAATCCCTGAGTTATTCCGAGACAAACCCGAATTCGCCGCCGCTAGAGAGAGACTCCGAAAAACGGCCGAGCCCCGTCCCACACCTCCTCGCCGTCGCCCGCCCGAACCCCCGAAAATTGTGCACCAACTCGTTGAACGTGCCGAGGAACGGCGCGTAGCTGAACAAGCCACGATTTCGGGAAACGACGATAGCACAGCGGAGCGCCACGCGACGACCACTGTGTCGGCTGGAAAAGCCGTAATCGCGAGGAGGGCCACTTGGGGGGAGGACATGTCGGAGACGGATCGACGGCTGATAGAGAAGCTCAGATGGGAGAGGTGTCCCGTTCCAAGACCACATCCGGTTCGCCATCTCTCCCTGCTCGTCCCGCCCAGGATTTTCGAGCCTAAACAGGTGATTTACACGGTTATTGTCAAAATATCGCAAATAAAATGCCAAAATTCACAAAGTCGAAAATTTTTTGTCGAAATTACTATTTTTGCTTTATTTAGAACTTACTATTTATTTAATAATGATTTACTATGCATCTTTTACAGTTTTTCGACATAAAAAGCTCCAAAAAAACGTATTAAAGGGCTCGATAATTGTCGAGTTTTTGGTAAAAAATGACCTAGAAGCTCAAAATCTCAATTTACAAAAATGTTTAAAACGTTTTGTGTAACTTTCTAACACTCAAAAACTACGAAAAACCTTATAAAAATATATATTGAGTTTTTATTCAAAAATTAATGAAAAATGACCAAAAAAGTGAAAATTTCGGATTTTCAAAAATGTTTAGAACATTTCAGATTTTTTTGGTAAATTTCTATCAATCAAAAACCACGAAAACCTTATAAAAATACACCATTTATTAGGTAGATATAGTTTAGCAAGAAAACAGAAATTAGCCCCCCCCTGCTAAAAGTGCAGTACAATTCAATCTTTCAGATGCACCTGATGCCGATGACGGCGCGGTTTATTCGCAGGAAAACACCAGAACCGAAAAGGGAGGTGAAGAAGCACGGGGAGAAGTGTCGAAGCCCGATGCCAGGCCAGAAGAGATTCTTGACGGTGCCTAGGGGAGCACCACAGCGGAGGAGTGCGAAGACAGATTTTGGGGTTGTGCTGAAGAAGGCGAGAGCCGTGCCGAGGATTGGAGTGGTCGCTGGTGGCCGGAGAACATGGGTACCACGGTGGAGAAGAGGTGTAAAGAGGTTTGTTTCGGAAAATAAACTTAGCTAGCTGTTTGAGAGCATTTTTATAGTTAATTACGGTTTATTCTTGTCTTTTCCTGCAAATTAGCTATTTTTCTTAGAAGGACGGAGGACGCACGGACTACGTAGGCACCTATTTACGCCTATTTCTGCGTAATTTGGAGCCCGCGTAGTCTACCGCTGAAGGTGCTTTAAAAACGGATATTTGTAACTTTATCAAAAAGAATCTTGACTTTCAATTCATAAAATCATAAAGCATAAGTTTTATTCCTAAAATCAGAAATTAGCGTTTTTAATCGAAAGTTTTATTAGTAGAACATGCTCTCAAAAAGCTTCCCAAGGACTTAAAATCTATTTTTCAGCTTCCGCGGTTTTTTCCAAACGCATGCCACCCGCTTTGCACTGCATAAATCATCTATCTGTTCACTAACAAATTAAATTTATTTTCTAGATTTATAAGGCTATTTTTAGCTCGGACAAAAGTGAGGAGGAGGTGAAGAGCGAGTCCGAGGAGGAGGAGGAAGAAGAAGAACAATCGGTGATTGAATCTCTGCCTGTCGCAGCTCCCAAGAGGTTTTTTAGCATTATTAATATTTTATAAAAACTATTTTAGCCCGGCGAAACCGGTGGAGAAGGTCGAGGAGCCGAAGGAGATGAGCGAGGCCGAGGCTGCGATGCTGGTGCTCTGATTTTCCTTAAAATTTTATGATTTTTAGGCCGCAAAACGCCGCCAGGAGGACGAGAAAGTGGCCCAGATCCAGGACTACGAGCAGCGCCGCAAGATAGACAAGGTCCGCGAGCAGGAGGAGCTCAAGTGAGTTGCACCTTGAAGTCGTTGGTTCCCTAAAGTCCGGGTTCTCACCCAAAATAAACTAAAATAAAAATTATGCCTAGCATCCTTCAGGGCCCTCAAAGAGAAATGCGAGCGGCGCCGCGCTGAACGGCGCGAAGAAGAGGAGGCCTACAACGAGCAACGTCGCACTGTTGAAGAAGCTCATCGCCGTCAGGAGGTGCGTTTTTGTCAGCTCTTTTTCTTCTTTATTTTGCTTTTTGCTTTGCTAGTTTCCCGGCTTCTTCTTCCTTTTCCAAATGAGTCCATTTCTAGGAAGAGAAAAAGGCGGCGATGGAGGTGGAGCGGAAGCGCCGTGAGGAAGAGCGTCGTCGCAAGCAACAAAGCATGGCTGGCGGTGGCTTTCTTGGGATTGACCTGCTCGAACCTGACGCTGAGGTGACGGCCAAGAGGTAAAAAATTATCCTAAAGATAACTGGCGTTCCGCTAGGATACAATTCCTAAAACGGAGATTCCGTTACGCTACATTTTCCGGAAATCGTGTATAGTACATTTTCGTACGCACGTCCAGATTTATTTATCAAAAATTCAATGCATTTCCAGGAACTTTGTCATCCCTCCAAAAAGCAAACGCCGCGCCTCGACGCTGGGCATCGCCGGCAAGAAGGAGGCCATCGGCGAGGAGGAACGCGAAAGGGCTCGAAAGGTAACCTATAAAATTTTATAAAGTCTAATTTAAACATCAATATTCAGAAGCCATCAAATTGAAGCAGTGCGGTAGTAGTTAGGATTGTGATCTCTCATGCCTTCGCCGATCTCCCTGTTTATTTCTTTTTCCAAAATGTAAATGATAGCAAAGTAACACGACCATTTTTCGCTCACTAACACTCGGGCAGTATAAGGTATTTATTAAGGGTCAGCGTGGTCATCTACTAGTTTAAAAACTACTTTATTCTTAATTAAATTGTAGAATACCCGCGGATTTCTAATAAATACCATCTTACGTTTACGCTTTGGCTTTGGCTTTCTAGAAAATTAATTTACGTATATTTTTCTATTTTTAGAATTACCTTGCCAATGTCCTCCGCCCCATCGACCCCTCAACGCTGCTGGCCAACGACCTGAAGGTGCACATCAAGCAGATCCACGCCCGCATCGTTCGCCTCGAGGCCGAGAAGTACGATCTCGAGCTGCGCAACGAGCGTCAGGAATATGATGTAACTTTCTAAAAGTTTTGGGTTTTCTAAAAATGATTTTAGCTGAAAGAGCTGGCCGAGCGCCAAAAGCAGCAAACTCGCAACAAGGCACTCCGGATGGGCATTGACCCTGATGAGGATGACCTCACCCATCCGGTAAGCAATGTTTTAGGATGTAAAATTAGTGAATTATAGCCAAAACTCAATGTGGCCTCAAAACACGATCGACAGACTGACCATCGCTCCTACGGCGATCGTCGCGTCATTTTTGAGGTAGGCCGGCGTTCAAGTCTCGAAAAATTTCGAGATTTTCTCCGGAGCTTTCGCACTATCGGGGGATCTTTTTCTTTAGGATTGTTATAATGTAAATAGAGGGCGAAACGTAAAACCTCTATAAATTTTTGACAAAAAAGCCAATGTAGCGGTTTTTTCGGTTCTGGTGCGTTAGCGGGGGTGGGGGACACCTTTCCCCATCGATATACTGGTGACCTCTCTATATCTCCGCTTCCCCCCACCCGTTAACGCACCAGAACCGAGTTTTCTATAAAAATTGCCAAATCTCGCCCAAAACTTGGAATTAAAAATTTTTTATAGATTTTGAATAGTTTTTCAGTCTAAATACATCTAAATTTATCAAAAAAAACGTCTCTAATCCCTTCTATGGCGTTATTAGGCATATCCGGACTTTGATGCAGAACAATTTCGGTTTTCCACCCCCGATAACGCAAAAGAACCTTTGTTCGAGCTTTTTAGGACGTTATTTAATGTTATAATCCAGAAAATTATATAATTAACCCCGTCGTAACGTCGTAACGTATACATATAATGTCGAATGGTCTAGTGGCAGTCCGCGTCCCATCTTCTGTTGTCCCTGTTCGGCGATCTATCTGTATATAACCTACCGTAAGTTCAAAACAAAACCACAAAAAAAACCGTAATCCATTAAGCCCAATATTCCCGACGACGAACATCGAACCATTCTCATTTTCATGCTCACCATTAATGTCGACATCGGCTACCTGGCAGTCGGTCGCTCGCCCGTTCGGCGACTTAGCCCGCCGGTTGCTCGATGTTGTTGTCCAGATGTTTTTATGTTTCCTAATGCACGCTAGAGTTTTGTAGTTTATGTATATTTTTGTGGTATAAATGATTAAAAGTCTCACGTCAAAAATTACATCAAATTTTAAGCTCCCCAAGCGCTATCAGGCGCCAAAAATCGCGCGCGGCACCGGGCGCCCGCCAGCCGAATGGGGCAGAAAGGTGAGGGAATTTTGCTACAAGGTTCAAATAATTTTAAAAAGAATTCTTCTTCAATAGAATTTGTCTACAATAGGTGTTTCCAAATAGAATTTACTACTACTAAACGTAAAGAAAATTTTCCTAGAAAACTGTCAATTTTTAAGCAGTTTAAACTTTTTAAAACTTTTACGCTTCAATTTTTGACACGCATTAAAAATTAAAGGTTTTGCTGGTAGATTTTTCACTTGAAATCTGGCTAAATCTTTAAAAAAACCGTTAAAATAGTGCTATTACATTACGAAACCTAACTGGACTTGTAGACCCCCACCCCGATAATGCTAAAGTCCCAAACTTAAGAATTCTGCTTAGAGCAACGAGGAACTCGACTGTCTCCGGAAACACGTTGAGGGTGCTGCTCATAATCGCTATGTCGAGCAGGTGAGCCGAGATTGATCTTTCGAATCCAATCCTACTATTCCGAATACCTTTCTTTTAATTAATAAAGCTTAATGTTAAAACACACAATAAGTTAATGCTTTGATATTCGATAATTTCAGAATAAAGTCGAGACAGGCCCCGTGCTCGAGCCGATCCCGCTGCAGCTCCCCGAAGATCAGGAAGCCTGATGTGAAAAAAAGCTTCTAAACACCCGATCACCCAGCAACCCTTCCCCTCTCAATTAAATGAACGGCTTGGTTAAAGTATCTAAAAAAATGTTGAAAGCACGAAAACGCACTTTTCCACGCATTAAAAACATTTGATATTTGACCAAAATCTAATCTTTTGAAGATTTACCACAAGTTCACAGTAGTTGACAACAATAAAACGCACTTTTTCACACATTTTAAAAACGTTTATCAACCATTTGATCTCTCGCAAAAATAAGTAGCGAAAAATGAGCCGGTCGGAAGAGGAGGAGCGGGAATTGATCAAAGAAAAAAACGGTTGGCACGTGGGTAATATGGGTGTGGATACCGGGGTTGGGCACGAAAGATGGGAGAGAGACAGAGAAAGCACACAGCAGAACAATATCCGGTAGAAAACACAGCCACCTTTTATGAGAAAAGATCCAAAAACGTTGTCTTGTCATCTAATGGGAGGGGAAACCCGCGTATTGGGTGGGCAGTGGATACTACGTAATGAGGACGGGAAGGAGGAGCAACGAGAAGGTGTCAAGTGTCAGCGCGTAAAATTCGGTTCTGGCCCGTTAGCGGGGGGAGGGCTCGGAGAAGGTTAGAAATGTATCTAAAACCACATTTCGCATATGTTTTTTTTAATAATTTTATATTTTTATGCGTTTTAAGTATTTTTAAGTTTTAGTAGATTTTAAATTAAAAAAACCTATAAAAACCTTTTCAAACGCTTTAGAACTTCAAAATTTCGCCATTTGATACATTTTTTAGCAAAAATCTAAATCTTTCGAAAATTGTAATAGTTCTATAAAGCTTCTATACTTGATAACGCCGTAAAAATTTATTAGACTAGACGTAAGTTATGTTTTCAACCCCTGAAACCTCCGCCCCCCGCTAACAGCACAGTGCCAAAAAATCGAGTGAGCCAAAATGGGGGCCTAACTGGCAGGATTGGATGAGCATGAGTTGGGAATTGAGAGGCTAGCTGAAAGTCCAGGGGTATCCGAATTAACCGTTTCAAAAGCACTGGTAAAAAATGGGGCGTATTCAGGCAGAAGCAATCGTTCTAATCGTATTCTTCGGGTGGAGGCCGAGATACATGTCTGTTGCTCGTTCACGGTCCTCCTCAGTTTGCACGTGGTTCTCCGAGAAATGGGCGAGCAGGGCGGCGCGCTGAAATTGGAGAGTTGTAAAATGTAAATTAAATGTTGTAACAGTAAAAATTGTCAAACATATTAAACGGAGCAAAAAGTCATTTTATTTTTTGGCTTTTTTTATGAATTGAACGTTGAATTTGTAAACAAATGTAAAGTCTCTTAAAACATTTTAATGTTCTTTCGCATTATCGGAGGGAGGGGCACTTTTTTCTTAGGACCAAATTTTCTAATTTGTCTCATTTTCTCTCAAATTTTCAAGTTTTCTAAATAGTTGCATTTTAAATCTATCTAAATCGTACAACAACACTATTAAAATATCTGCCATTACATTAATACGCGTATCCGGACGAACAGCTAATAGGCAAAAATACCCCCCCCGATAACGCAAAAGAACCTAAAATGATATTTTAAAGCTTAATCGATCGCTTAAAATGCGTCGAAACCATTAAATCACCTCAAATCCAGTCCAATCACAACGATCACACCGCACTTCTTGGCCGGTCATTCGGACACGCGTGGCTGTCAGCTCTTCCGGGGACATCTAAATAACTTTCTCAAAAACGCCCAAATATCGCACCTGGCTGCTCTCCCCGCCTTGCAGCACCTTCTTTTTCATGAGCTGCGTGAGCGGCTGGTCCATATGATGGTGAATCTCGTGGAAATCGACGACGATCGCCGTAGATGATGCATAGTCACAATGGCGGCATTTGAAATAGCCGGGGGCGCCGTGCATCTGGACGTGACGCTCATAGGTGAGCAGGGAGGAGGATTCGAAGCCGCAGTGACGGCAGAAGTACTGAAAAAGGTGAATATAATCTAATCGAATTAATATAGCTTAATTACTGTAGCTTGTATTCTTTTTCTATATCAAGGATTTAGGTACTGGTTCGTTAGCGAGGGGGGGGGGGGGTTTGACAGGGAAGGAATTAATTTTTCCTGTTTTGGAAACGCTGAATGGTTTCTTATCAACCATTTTAATAAAATTTTACGCCGTTTTTAGCTACAGAAACTTTATAAAACCCATTAAAGTCATCGAAAAGCTGACTTCTTGTTTAAAAATCAACGAAAATGGGCTAAAATTTTTAGCAATTTGAAACAACTAAAAAAAACACTAAAAATAGGCTATATTTTATTTCCCGCCCCCGCCAATGAACCAGAACTGACAACGAAGTAAAAAAATTCCTACCTCCTTGTTAGCCCGCTTCTTCGTGGGAAGCCGCGGCTTCACCCATTCCTCCTCATTTTGTGTGCTGCGCTTGATCAGCGATTTCAGTCGGTTTTGTTGCGTCTAATAGAGGATAAATATTAATGATGAAAAACCACAAACAATAAATACATAAATTTATATAAATATCTATAATTAAAAAATGTACCTGCGCATGCTCCACTCTGTGTAGTTTGTATTTTTCGAGGCACATCGTACGGTAGTTACAATGGACGCACGAGTAGACCTCGCCGCCCTCGACGATCTGCTCCACTTCTCGGGCCATACGACGAGATGAGGCCGTTGAGATTTTTCTGAAAAAAGAACTTTATTTTTTTTTGTTTCTACGATTGGCAAGTCCAACATTTTAGAAATTTTATTTTAAAAATAAACATCGATTTTTCGATGCAAAATTGCGGATTTTCGAATAACGTTAAGTAAATTTACAAAAACGCGATTAAAATATTTTGTATTGCTCTAGCCTTATTTTAAAGATTTTTTCTGATAAAAAAAAACTTACTTCAACGCATCATATCCCTCCGTATGCAAATCCAAATGATTGCAGAGAGCGTCAGGCGAGTGAGTGCTAAAAAACTCAGTAAATGCTTTAATAATTTGTGTCTCACTTGTAGGTGCAAATCGAGCACTGGAAGTTCCGCTTTCCGCCGTGCATCTCGAGGTGGATACGGTAGAAGAGGGGGTCCTCCTCGACATACGGGCAATTCGGGTCCACACATTTCATCATGGCCTCGGTGCTGGTGGCCGAGCTGGCCGATTCAGATTTGCAACCTGGAAATGGCATTTTTAATTTCTTTATACTTATTGAAAATTTTATAATCTGAATGTTAATCAAATACTAATTTTAAGGAAACTACTTACCAGCCAAGGCCATTTGAAGGTGAGGCGGCAGGAGAGCCCGCATGCGCTTGAAAACAATTTCCGGATCGGGCAGCTCGTTGAACGGCATGCCAAGGTCGGGAGGGGATGAACATTCTAAAACATTAATAAAATTCGTTAATTATACATATATATAAAAAAATAGTGTTTGTGTGTGTGTGTGTGCCACTTTGCATCCACTTCCCTTTGTCTGTCCGGAGGATATCTCGATAGGGGAGGAATTTTAAGGTATGTATCATACGTCACTAGGTGCGTAATCGCCTGGAGATGACTGCACGCATAAGAGATTCAACAAAATTACCTTTTTTCGACATTACATTTAAAGGGCTAGTTCAACTTTTAGAGCTTGGGCTGGTACCTTGGGAAACTATGGACGTAGGCACAGTGCGCCCGAACAGTCACCCATTACGACAGCTATTAGATAGCGGGGGAATTAGAGAGGCGCAGACACAAAAACGCAGAGAGGGTTCGACTCCTGGCCGCGGAAATTCTTTTACTTTATTCGCTGAACTAGCCCTTTAAGTTTTTGTGAAAACTTCTTTGTTAGGCATAATTAGCATTGACCGGAAAGTGGGAGTCGACTATAAAAAAGGATGGGAGAGGTTGTTTTTCATTTTTTTTGGCATCTGAATTTAGGACAATTATGCAAAGTGAAGGATAAAAAAATGGGGTCAGACGGGGCCAGGGTTGAAAAGTCGCGACGCGACTTTTCAACCCTGGTTATACATAAAAATTCATAAATTAAAGGTAAAGTTTTTTACCCGGTTTCTCGTCCTTTCCTTCAGACCCAGAGCCAGCACGAGGTGGCGGTGAATCTCCCAGGTCACTAAATAATTGTGTTTTTTCGAATAAAGTAAAGAAAAATATCTAAAACTAATAAAGGTAAAACTCACCTTGGAGATCCTTCTCTCTCAATTGTGGGCAGCGGATCGAAGCCAGATCTGGTATTTTCGCCCGGAGGACTCGAGCGCTTTCCGACTTTCGGCTTGTATTCTTCCAGGGTTTCCATTTCGTTTTGGGAATCCCTAAAAATAAAAATAAATATTTAACTAGAAAGGCGCAGGCATAAAAAATTATAAAAATGTAAAAATTCTTATTTTATTAGCATTATAAATCTTTACCGGTTTTCTGAGCCATCAGACGATCCAGCGCGATTATTTTCATGGAGACGCTGATGGGTGACAAATCTTTGACACGGCCAGTGCTAAAAAAGAGCATTTTCAAGCTCAAGGTCGTTTAAATTGATTTAGTTCTGAATTTAAAAGTTTCAAACTTTTAAAACCCAGAAATTAAGCCTACCTGAAAAGAGCATTGCGTGCATACAAATTTCCCGTTATTCTCGTGCTTTTGCTTGTGGCCCCAGAGACGGGAGTAGGTGTCCGTTTGGAAGGGGCACATGCTGCAAGGAAATTGATAATAAATAAGAAAATTCAGAATTATGGCTAGAAGATGAAATATTATCAAAAATTAAAAATTTAAACGAAAAAAACGTACTCGCACTTGTGCTCGCCCGGCTTCGTGGCGGTCGCTCCAAAGGTGGACGGCTCGGCGGTGCCGTTGGCCAGCTGTGGATGTAGCCGAGTATGGTCGGCAAGGCGTTGCGGGAAAATGGTGGAGTAGCTGCAGGCGGGGCACTGCTTGGCGTCGGGGTGGCGTTGCAGCACATGGCGCCTGTAAAAAATATTAAATAACACAAATAGGTTTTTAGTGGTTCCATGGATCCCGTTATAATTCTAGATATGTATAGTAACGCTATAGCAAGCGTTTTTGATAGCTTTTTAGTAAAACTTAGCAATAAAACAAAGCAAAAAACTATTTAGAAAACACTAAAAAGTTTCAAATTTTGAAATTTTTATCGAAAACGGTGATTTTTGCAGTTTTAATACATAACTTTTTTTAATTATATAGTTTTTTTAAATTTTTTAGGCCAAGAAATAGTAACAGATCTTTAAACACTTTCTCTATTTATATTCGGAAAATTCCAATTTTTCTCGCGGATAACGGTCAAACGCGCCAGAAAACGGGATGGGTTGAAACCCGGGGTGATACAAAGGTTCGGCAAAAATTTAGAGCAAAAAGCAAAAAGTTTGCCACCTGCGGGGTTCGAACCCGCGCCCGGTTACCCGGACCCGATCATAAGTCGGGCGCCTTAGACCACTCGGCCAAGGTGGCGATGATGGGTGATTAGGAAAGGTTATATTTATATGGCCGAAATTCAGTATTTTCAGAAATGCTGAAAATGCTGAAAATGGGGCTGGGGGATGGGCGCGCGCGAGATTGACGCACTAATGTCGGCTTCCCCATTCCGGGACCCGGGAAACCGGAAATACTACAAAAGGCTTACAATAATACGAGTCTATTATTATTAGAATAAAAAAATATTTAATATGATTAAACTATTTAATATTAAAGATAATATAAGCTCATTATTCGATTTTAAGCTCATGAAAAATATAGTAAACAAGCCGTAAAACCACAACCCTCACCTAGCATGATGCCACAGCTGATAGCAATACACCGAGTTGAAGGGGCAACTCGCGCAGAAGTAGCGTCGCGCCTTCAGGCCGTACTTTCGCGTGCCGATCAATCCGTAGGTTTTATGGCGGATTTGAAGCTCCTAAAACTCAAATAAATTTACATCATCAAAAAAATTAACCTTAGCGAGGCCCATCTCCTCAATCGGGTCGCGGATCCGTTTTCCGTGGAGTCGCATGTGGACTTGCAGGGAGCGGAGCTAAAAAAAACGTTAAAAATATGGTTCTTTCGCATTAGCGGGGTGGGGGATTTTTTAAAAAGTTTTAATAGCGTTTTTTAGTCAAATTTAACTATATTTTAAGTCGAAACAATCAATCAAAGCTCGAAAAAATTTCTAGGTAAAATTTTTGTCGAAAATTGGACATTTTTGGCCGAAAAAAAATCGGTTTTATTTTTTTATTTTTAGAGAGCAGTTAAGATTGATAAAATATACAAAA